CACCCGGCACCGGGAGGCGCCATGTATCGAGGAATGGGCCCCTCGGTGAGGCCGAAACCAGCTGCATGCAGTAGATTTCGTACCCCCCTTTCCCAACCCCCCCTTTCGTCCGGCTCGGCCGACGAACCGAGCCCCGACGGTCTCCCCGCCGGTCTCCTCCCCCCTCAGTGCAGTGCGCGGCGCCCGAGGCACGAAGCAACATCTTGGGAGGCCGGTGCGGGTCGGGGTCCACCACAGGGCAGGTGACCCTGAGGTTAGCTCGGGCATGTCCCTCCACAAGCGGATTTTGGAGGAAACGCAGAAAAATATTCAACAATAATCAAGCGCAGTAGAAGAATCGTCCCCAGACTACTTTTGAACTATATTTGGATATCCTCCTGTAGAGGGACATGCCCGATTCAACCCTGCGGGGGGGCATCTGTTTTGGGCGGTTCGGTGCAACAACCGATCGAACTCCCCCTCCCTCCCCCTGGGCACACACCCTCTTTGCGGGATCCCGAGGGGGGGAGGCGGAACCCACCCCACCATCCCGGGTCTAGCTGCGCCCCGGGACGGCCTCACGGGTGCCTGCTCACCGTGGCGGCCTTCAGCTGCCGGAGCTGGAACTCCTTCGGGCGTAGGCCGCTGGCCATCCAATGCTACTCCCCCTCCCTCGCCCTCCTCGTCCTCCTCCTCCTCCAGCTCCTCTTCCTCCTCCTCCTCCTCCTCCTCCTTCCCCTCTCTTCCTCTTTCGTCCTCCTCCCTTCCTCCTTCCTCCTTCCTCCTGGCACTGCTGCGAAGAAGGCGCTTGAGTCAATGTACCCTGGACACCGCGCATGTCCTGTGCGTTGTGAACCAAAGCCGTCGACCCAAAGTAGACAGGACACGCATACTCGAAGCTCCAACTTTACACGACACATTCGAAGCACAAGCTGGCTTCAACTGAACACGTGTACACGTTAGACCAAGTCTGCCTCCTCGCAGCTCCACAATTCGCGTGACCAGGGTGCGTGCATGCGCGGAGGACCCGGCAAGTGGGGACGAAGGGAAGTAGGGAAGGGGGGGGTCAATGCACGGAAGAAGGGAGGATGGCAAGGACGTATGGGGAGGAGGGCAAATATGAGGATGATGATGATGATGATGATGTTGGTGATCACGATGATGATGATGATGATGATGATGATGATGATGATGATGATGATGATGATGATGATGATGCTAAGACGATTATATGATGATGACGGTGATGATGACGATGCTGATGATGATGGTGGTGGCGATGCTGATGATGATGATGATGATGATGATGATGATGATAATGATGATGCTGCTGCTGCTGATGATGATGATGATGATGCTGATGATGCTGATGCTGATGATGACGATGATGATGTCGATGTGCACAATGACGATGATGATGGTAGTGAGGGGCAGTCCGTATCCACATGAGTTTTGGTTTTGTTGGTCCTGGGGCCGAAAGGGGCAGTGCCGGCCCCAGCAGGCACCTGGAACAAAAAAAACGGTCCGAACCAAATGAGCCTGCTGGTGGAGATCAGAAGCCTTTTGGCAATCTGCAAAATGCATAAACCTGGGCGCCAGAGTCGGAGTGAGGACCGACAGCAAGCAACGCCCATTGCTCAGCAGCGGGGCAAGTAGAGGGGGACAAACACAGCAAATAATCATATAAAGAAACACATGACCATGCATATCATGGGCCACGGCAGCCGTCCCCGCGAGATCGTATGTTCTATGCCTGCATGGCTTGAAGCAAGTCTCGCAAGTGCAACCGCTCCCTGGAAAAACTTGATGCTGCGTCAAGGAGCAGTCTTGACACTAGTCTGTTAATTACTCATGGCCGTATCATGCTGGGGCTCGGTTATTCTTCAGGGCGGAAGCTACACACCCACCTCGAGCATTGCCCACAGAAGCTCTGTCAAACTCTCGCGAAACTGAGCTGATATGGGGCACTGCAGCAGCCCGTGTCTGACGTTGTCGTGCGCACGGCCGCAGTCGCAGTGAGCTGCCACCCGAGATCCTGCGGCCATCAATCGGGCGCGGGGCCAGATGCACTGCGTGGCACAGGCCACAAGCGCAGAGCGTGCCTTCTAATCCAACTGCTGATCGGCGATGATTCTTCGAGCAAGTGCGACGTCTGAAATCTCCTCGAGATTGCACAGATGATTGCACAGATGCATGGCGGTTTGCTCCAATATCCGTCGGCCCCCAAGCCTCCTGAATTTTCAGGGCCACGAATGTCGGGGCACGGGTGTGGAAAACAACTTCGGCCCCCTAGGCGTCCCGAAGAAACCGACGGCACAGCCCGCGTCCAGCCCATCTTCTTCAGGGATAAGCTGGCGGCCCCTGATGGGACCTCTGACAGCTCGCCGGGCAGTGGGGCAAACGGTAAAAACTGGCTCCGTTGGGCGGCTCTTCAGTCCTCGAAAATCAACTACGGGCGCTGGCTGCGCATGCGCCCCCAAAACCATGGTGGGCCTGGTCTGCGCAGCGCTGCGAGGGCGAATGATCTACTTTGCACCGCGAACCTGAGCCCTCCTCCTCCTTTCTCCTCATCCACCTCCCCCTCTTCCTCCTCCTCCTCCTCCTCCTCCTCCTCCTCCTCCTCCTCCTGCTCCTCCTGCTCTTCCTCCTCCTCCTCCTCCTGCTCCTCCTGCTCCTGCTGCTCATGCTTCTGCTCCTCCTCCTCCTCCTCCTCCTCCTCCTCCTCCTCCCCTCCTCCTCCTCCTCCTCCTCCTCCTCCTCCTCGTCCTCCTCGTCCTCCTCGTCCTCGTCCTCGTCCTCGTCCTCGTCCTCCTCATCCTCCTCCTCTCGTCGTCCTCCTCCTCGTCCTCCTCCTCCTCCTCCTCCTCCTCCTCCTCCTCTCTCCCCCTCCTCCTCCTCCTCCTCCTCCTCATCATCATCCTCCTCCTTTGCGCTCTGCGCTGCCAAGCGATCCATCCCGTGAACACAAAATGCCCGCACACCAAAATCGAGCTCACGCCTGCGGACTCCTCGCCCGCAGCGGCGCTGGAACCACCGCCTCGCCATTCGGTGAGGATGGGTTTGCCCTGCTTCAGGAGGCGCAAAGCTCTCGCCCTCCACTCGCCCACGACACGGTCGGTGCACCTCGCACCCAAGTCTTTGACCTGATGCTGGGCGTACACTCCGCACGCGGCACACCAGAACACGGGCCCGTTGGCCCAACGTCGGTGGGCGGGGTGAGCCTTGGCCAAGACCACAGGGACCCCAGGGCACGGCAGCTGCACCACCCGACAGCGCGAGACCCGCCCGATCCCACAGACGCTACAACACCACCCACCAGGAACCTGTGATATCTGGTGCCCCTTATCATCTGGAACTAGCTCAAGCAGGGGGGCCTCTGAATTCACAAGCGTCCTCTGCCTACGTTCCTTGATGGCCTCCACGTCGGGGTACCTTAACCTGTGCACATACTTCAACACCTCAGTCGGGTACCTGGCCAGGAGAGTCACCTGATCACGATGCAACCTTATCTTATCTCTCACGTGGAAATTCACCGGGTGCGCCTTGGCACCCTTCTTGGCCCACTCGTCGGAAAGCCTATTACCATGAAAAAAGTGAGGCGGTACTCCGTGGTCGGGGGCCGCTCGCCGCGACAGGTGCGCGGTGATCTTCACAACCTGGATGTTCTCCTTCCCACCGTCCTCAACTCTCCTCCAAACTTGCCTCCACAATTCTGCATACGCCTTATTTGGGTGAGTCGTGTTTGCCTCCCCAACTCCCCCACCCATCTACAACCATCTGGCAATCCGTGCCGATCGTAAGCATCGGCCCCATCAACAGTGTAAAAGGCATACAATTCCAAATCTGGAACATCTTGGACTGGGAGAGGCGACGGTCCATACGCAATCGCCTCTACTTCCAGTATGCGAGAAACTGATACTACGGCACATCCTGCTCTGACTAGCCACCTGCATTCGTTGTCGTACCATGATCCATCAACACAGACGAATGGCCCCAAGGTTCCATGCCGATGAAGACGGCGTGCCCACTTGAACTCAGCGCCGTGCAGGATCTTCGGAATATTGCTGCGGCCGTTGCTCACCAACGCCCGAGTCCACCTAAGATCTGCCAGAGCCTCCTTGCCCTCCTTCAGGAGCGTGCCCCCTGGGCCAAGGTCGCGGCGAAAAAAACCAGGAGCCATCGCAGCCCCAGAGTCTGTGGTGCACTGAACCAGCATTGGCCCCACACCACCTGCATGTCGGGTCCAAACTGAACCTCTGCTTGGACAAGTCTTGCTGCGTCCAGAGGCCTCCAGGAACCTGAGCTATAATGAGACTTATCCCAAGGTGGTCCCCTCTCTTTCTCAGCTCCGAGATCGCGTCTCTGATCGGGTCCAGATGGGGCTCCCAAGGTACGCGGTACAAATCACTCACCTTCTTGAGGCACAACTGCTCCGTGGTGTCATCTACGAGGGCCTTGATCGTACGAGGGCCCAACTCACGCAAGTCCAGAGTGATCCCCGAAGACGTAACCCAACTGCACCAGGGGGCACCCGTCCAACCCAACCTAGCGAGCGTCTGAACCACGGCCCCAGCGGGGCCAAACAAAACCCAGCTCCAAAGCCTGGCAGCATCATCCTTGGCCTTGTTAAGGGCCGTCTGCATCTGCGCCTCCGTTGACCACTGCGTAAAAATCGCCTTTGTCCACATCATGAGCGGCAAGGCGTTCGCCTGGAATGACTGGTCAACCTACGGCACCTCTGCCGGTAAAAAACTGCACCGCCCTGCACCTTCCTTTAGCTGGGCGAAAAAGGGCGGCGGCCGTCGTGGCTCGCTGCGTCTGGAGCGCGGTGTTGGTCATCCCCCCCACCCCCGCCCCATGCGTCGCAGCTGGCGTTCCCCCTCCTCTGAAGATCTGCTGGACCGGCTTCTTCGAAAATCGGAACGCACGGCATCGTCGAACTCGGCCCCTGACGGAGGTGAATCGCTGTTAGTCACCTTCGGTCCCTTGTTCAAGGCCAACGTAAAGTCGACGCCCAAGTTCTTGGCCGCGGGTGCATACTTGAAACTGAACTCGCGCAGCGCGTGCTGCAATGCTCTGCCGAGCTGAATGTCTGGCGCCACCAAAACTCACTTCTTCCTGGAAGCCTTCAGTTCGAAAGCCCCCAAGCCCCGACAAAACTGCATCGCCCCCTGGACCAGAGCTTTCTTCACGAACATGTCGGTCCCCAAGGCCTGGATGGTGCAACCATCTACCGTGAGCGCCAGCCCCAAGCGGGGTCATTTGTCCATAAACTCATCGCACACGCCCATAAGAACTATCTTCAGCAACGTCGTTGCGAAAGAGCAGCCTGCCACTATGCTGCTGTTGACTGCGAACGGGGGGGATAAGGCCTCGCCCACCTTGATGCTGCGAGGGCCACCGTAGACTAGGAGGAGCATTCGAATACGCCTGATGCTGAAGCCATGCTTAGCACGCGATCTGACCAGGAGCTGGTGCGCCACTCTCTCATACGCTTTCTCTAGATCAATCAACGTGCAGGCGCTGAAAACCTTGCTGGCTATCGCTGCCTCGTTGTTTACCGCTTGCCGCCAAGCCGCCATCTCGCATCTCCGCCCCTTCCCTCCATACATATAATCCTTGTGCTTAG